ACAGACAGACAGACAGACAGACAGACCAGGTATACTCACTCCATCCTGAGCTTAGACCTGTCGGAGCCCCACTCCCCCCGGGACGCTGATCAACAGCTCCAGGGTCTGAGGACAATGGAATAAAGATAAAATAAGACAAGATAAGATCGGATCAGATAAGATAAGAAAGGCTAAGATAAGATAAAAATGGACTAAGTTAAGATAAGATAAGATACGATGAGATAAGATCAGATCAGATCAGATCAGATAAGATAGGCTAAGATAAGATAAAATGGACTAAGATAAGATAAGATAAGATAAGATAAGATAAGATAAGATAAGATAAGATAAGATAAGATCAGATAAGATAAGAATGGATTAAGGTAAGATACGGTAAGATAAGATAAGATACATCTTCATTGTCCAGATCCTGGCATTGGTTTGGTGTTTCACCACGTACACATATACATACACACACCCACACACACACACACACACACACACACACACACACACACACACACACACACACACACACACACACACACACACACACACACACACATACACACACACACACACACACACACACACAAACATGCTTACTGTACACCTTGCAGACAGTGTGGTGACAGTAGTATAAACAAATGGTCTAGTCTTTTTTTCTTCTTTTTTCTCGATGTAGGTTTTTTTTACGCCGCCATCCCAGCTCAACCTCCACCAGACCAGAATAAAACCAGAATTTCCCCTAGTGTGTCCTTTGTGTGCCTATATATTTTATGAGACTGTGAGCCATTACATTTCCACTGTACAGCCCTTAATGACATCAGAGCTACACTTCTCCCTCCGAGACCTAACATTGACAACACACTCTATGGAACATTACAGCAATTGCAGCAAACCTGCACTTATCACAACACGGCATTGAACAACAACAACAACAGAAAGGCGAGAGTCCAGCTGTTGTTGGATCGTTAACAACAACAACAATAACAGCAGCAACGACAACAACAGCAACGATGACAACAACAACGACAACAACAACAACGTCCCCATGGACACGATTAAGCTCATTTAGGTGGTGTGTTTCCGATCCTATCTGTCAGAGGCAATCCAAACTGGAAAGGGATACAAAACATCATAGGAGAAAGACCGATTTACTCAATTTTTAAAAATCGCCTCACCATTCGGGAATCAAACTCGGGTCTCCAGCGAGCGACAACGAGGCGCCAAACAACAACATTACTGACGCTAGTATTGTTTGGTTAGATTATGTGAACTGTTGAGTTGCTCATGTGAGAGCGTGTGTAGATAGATAGATAGATAGATAGATAGATAGATAGATAGATAGATAGATAGATAGATAGATAGATAGATAGATAGATAGATAGATAATACATACATACATACATACATACATACATACATACATACATACATACATACATACATACATACATACATACATACATACATACATACATACATACATACACACATACACACATACACACATACATACATACACACATACATACATACACACATACATACATACATACATACATACATACATACATACATACATACATACATACATACATACATACATACATACATACATACATACATACATACATACATACATACATACATACATACATACATACATACATACATACATACATTGCATTTATATGATGTTATATTCATATTCATATCCATATTCCTACTCCTATTCATATTCATATTATTCATATTTGTAAGTAATCTATATATTATGTATATGACATTATTGTGACAAAACTCCTTGGTTCAGTGTAACCCCAGGCAGCTGGGCAAAGGACAAGACGGCGAAATACAGGACACAGTTAACTGTCGTAAGGGTTCACCCTCTGTCCTTGTTTTCAAGTATACTGTATACTGATGCGTTGTCCAGACAACATTCCTGGGACGAGACAGAGACAGAGACAGCTGGCACGATGACAGAGATGATGTCCTCTGGTATTGTCTGACAAGCTAAAATTGTGCCTCATAGAATTAGAATTGGATATAAGCTTAGGTCAACGTGTACGTTGGACGGTTGTTATAGAAACCGATGGAACTTTTTATTTGCTCTATTTCTCTTAGTTTTGTTATATTTTTGTTAGCTTGTTTGTTGTTTTTATTGTTTGTTCTTTTGTTGTTGGGTTTGTTTATGTTGTTGTTTGGGTGGTTTTTATTGGGGGGGGGTGAGTTTTTTGTTTGTTGGTTGGTTGGTTGGTTGTTTTT